CTCGCACATCAACATGCTAAAAACCTACCTGACATCTTCAAATGAAGCGAAGGCTTCCTTCAAGGCTTTGTTATCGACCTCAGGAGAAAGGTCTCCAACAAATACATGGAAGTGTTCTAGAATAAAAAATGGCTGGTTAATAGAGTGGGGAGAAATCATATTCAACTTTTTACGTCAACATGAAATACAGAACATACTGCTTGTGTCGACTTTGGGCTGTTGCTGTCCCGGTTCCACTGCCCAGTTCACCTTCATTTCCTAAATAATAGCAATTTTTTTTTCTAGTTCTTGTTTTACAAAACATTTCCATATACACCAGGCAGAAATCTATAGGAAACCGACCTTGTCCAGCAACATTCGCCTATTCATTGTTTGTAAAGCCTGAGCAGCCATGTTGTGATCGGCAAATTCAACAAATGCATACGGATCATTTGTTCCCTGCAAAAAATAAGAAATTGAAACTCTGGTAACACCAATGTACCACACTTGAAAACCCCATGGCTTCCCCTCCCGGTGTGTAATCGAAGACCTAGTCATCTCATGCGCGTCGCAAAAAACAAGAAAAAAAGATGAAAGGAAAAAGAATGAGGAAAATCATAACGAAAGCGTATGTGGTAAATGGATACTCTTTGAGGCCGCAGTTTGCGACGAGGTCGAAACTACGTGTACGTACGCTGGTTACCCATGCAGTCGCCGCACCTGCGAAAGGGACTCATTGTGGAATGCCGGCATATGACAAAGCAATCAAAAGAAATGCAAAATGGAAAACAGCAAAAGTGCGCAGAGCGCAATGCAGAAAACAAAAGGTACACAGAGTTACTTACCACCATGCCCATTAAAATGTAAAGAAAACAAAACAAATGGGATACAAGAAAAAGCGCCTATCAGCTAACAATGTGAAAAGGACTAGGAGCAGAAAAAAGCAATGAAAAGTACTATTCAAGAACCTACTAAAATGCGAGAAAGAGCAATACACAAGCCTTTGTTTCATAGATTTCGGTTTCTGTCAGGTCGCAACGCATCTTTTTTTAGGTCACAGCGCATCTAATGCTGCGCACAAACCAATCAAAAATTCAGGAAAACTGACTCAGCACGTCTAGTTCCAAATGGAACTTATTTCGGACTACAGCAGAAGCTTGTTTCAATTACCAATTTTCGAAACAAACTGCTTCAGCAAAGTCACTCCCAAAAATTTGTCCCGTTAGGCCAATCGTAATAACTTGCGAAACTGTTACTTCCTAGGAATGATTTTTTTTGCTGCTCTGAAAATAATTACGCGCACTTCTATATCTCCTAAATTGAACTCAAACAATTTGAACTGAATGACAAGCTCCAAAATAGGCTGCCTGTCATCAAGGTAACGAAAGAAGTGCAAAAAAGGAGCTCATGTAAAGGTTTCCGGCCGCAGTGAATTTGACGCGGTGTCAGCTAGCAAAAAATGCACACAAGAGTGACTTCCGAAGCAGAAAAGCTAGAAACGTAGCAGAAACGCGGTAAGTTATTTCAAAGCCAACTAAAAGAAGATTCAAGAAATAGGGGTGCGCTTGGAGTGGCAGGTGTGGGTGGTCTGGGGAGGTGGCGGCGGAAGTCTGGGGCGGGGGGTGCGGACGGATGTAGGAGGCAAAGTCGCTGAAAGGAGTGAGGCGAATGGCCGTCAAGGGACGAGGTAGTGAAGAACGGCTGGTATCTTGCGAGGGAGCAAAGGCTGTGTGGGTGGAGGAGCGGGGGCGTACCAAAGAACGGGCTTGCTCGTGTCAAATGCGAGCACAACTCAGGATCGGACTATCGCAACTGATTGCTCTAGGTCCCAGCCACCAATCTGAAAACTGTTTAGATCAGCAAAGAACTAGCGAAATAGACTCACATCAAAGATAACTTTTGCGTTGCGTGGGACTTGGTCCGAGAGTGTGAGGGGGCAAGGCGACAGAGCGGTGGTCCAGATGAACTCTTGGCACGGTGACTGAGGGGAGGTGCCGGGAGGGGGGATTACCCACATGAGGACGGTGGGCAAATGGGGACAGGAGATGGGAAGAGGATTGACGAGTAGCGGACATGATGGGTGAGCAGGAGGAGTGTGTGTTGATTACAACAGGGGATCGGGGGGGTAGACAACAGGGGGGCTTGAGCCAGCCGGAACCGAGAGTGCAATCGTGAGGTTTTGTGGGTGGGCTAATAGCAGAGTGCGGGGTAGGGGCCAGGGGGGGCGGGGGTAGGGAGCGGATGTCGTGTGGGGTGGTGGTGAGGAGGATTTGTGGGACGAGGAGAGTGAAGGCGTCTGTGGAGGGCGGGAGGGAGAAGTTGTGAGCGGGGGTTGGAACAATGTTCGCTATGTGTTGTTTCGAGAGCCCAGACATTAATAAAGACGCCTTTCCCGCTTGTGAGCATGTCGTGCGAATCAAAATGGACCGTTGGCGGATAGTGCACGCAGCATGATACGTTACAACCTCTCTTCACTCCGGCGCTCAGGCCCAGCTGGACGAGCAAGTTAGAGACCCGCACAGCAGAGCCGAATTGGACAGTCGCCGACTTCGGTTCGCTGCGGCCAGGTGACTGCAAGGTATCCTTCCAAGGTTTGAAAAGTGACCCACAGAAACTTTCGGCTGGGATCACTTATTGCCTTCACAAAATTTCACGCAGTCCACTTGGTGACAAGAGTCTCCACTTGGTGGTTGACAGGTCGATGGGAAGTAGCAGAAGTGCAAAGTGCCCCCGTTGCCGAAATTGTGAAAGGAACTGAGTACTAAAGCAATCCCTATAATTTGCATACATTTCGAAGAGTTCTGACATCCCGTAGCGAGTAGGCATGACCTTTCACCCGAATTGGAAACACATTCCAAGCCTACGCTAGAAGACCTTCATTAACCGCTAACAATGACATAAACGTCTGGGGTATCAAAATACCACGGTATAGCAGAGTAGCGCCCACTATCTTGAACTCTGGGATTTGATATTAAATAATAAAGAAAATCTTATTAAGATCAGATTTAATAACAATTTCGGCGATCAAGCGACCCACAAAGTGCCTGCGTGCATTTGGCATTCGAGTCCACATCCGCGTTGTCCCCTTTCGTCACTCAAAACGGTGAAATAAAGAGGCCACAGACGCACCACTATTGTCCCCCCCCTGTTCTTTTCATTCTGCAAGAAAACTACTTACAAGCGGAATATGTGCGTGCATTGTGTTGCCTGAGCGCCGTAGGACGATTTGCAACAATGGTCGGAGAAAATCCAGCTTACAGATTCTTCACCGGCTCACAAATTGTTCTTCTTTCACGGGATATTTTTTCCAAACAATATATTAACGGCAGTCCGCTTGGCAAGCCAAGATGCTTTGGGTGCTGCTCAAATCCAGCAGCGATGCAATCGATCTGAGCGTTGCTGACCGTAGTCCTAATTTATGCACAGTATCCGAATGCTATTTTCTGTCCTAGTTTTATCGTTTTCTCCCCCGATTTTAGATGGCGCACGGATGCACAGAGGCCGCAAGGTGCCAGCAACTCCAGAGAACTCGCGTGAGCAAATCCTCAAAACTAGTTCAACAAGGCTTTGTGACTCTGAGAGGCGTTTTGTTTGCGATGTTCCCATTGTTTTCTATTGCTTCTTTCTAAACTGTGAAGACTCTTGTCGGCTGTTGGTTCACATTAATCGAGTGAATTGTAGTTTGAGGTCGTGCATGGACTACAAGGAACCCCGACCTGCAACAGCTTCACCAATTCCAATCGTAAACCAGTAACACCAGCTGTTCGCCTCCCATGTGTTGATTGCTCCCTTTCATGGTCAACCTTCATTAAGCCTAATCAGGTCACCCATGCGACCAGTGCCGCCCGGTGGTAAATGTATTTCACGGAACCACACGAGAAATAACAGCCCTCCCCCCCCCTCTCTGCCACGAAAGAGTTGGTTGTGCCTAGTGTGTGCTGAATCAAACATTCGCCCCATGATTCAGAGGAAAGCTAAAAACTTACAGAGTTCTTGGTTCATCAGTTCCGCCCATGTGGAAGCCTTCTTTTTCAGCTACTTTAGAATGAGTACGTGGATTATATACTCCAGCGTTATCATTTTCATGTTGTCCCATCATATGGTTTGGTCCATATCCAGCGTAACCACCGTATTGAAACTGCAATAGCGCACATGGGCTTCAACTTACATGGAATAGGAAATCGATGAACTTACCGCCATCCTCACAAGTCAAAGAAAATACTTTA